GCATGAGATCCTCTCGGCTTGTCTGCCATTTGTGAATAACTGATAAGGCAAAGTTAAAAGCACTGCGCCGGGCTGAGCTTGATAAAAGGACAAACAGAAGACTGACTTCTGAAATGTCAACCGGGTTAAATTAGTTGAACAACATTGGTTCTCCATACTGGTTTGCAGCCGAAAGATCTTATCGAGATGAAAGACGGAGCAGACATGGATGGGTAGATGTGGGTAAATAAATTAAGTTTGACTTTGAGGACGGCTGAGATTTCTGAATGGGGTGAAGCTGGAGATGAGAAGGGGATAATAATAATAAGCGGTTAGGGTTGAGACGTTGAGGGGGGATTTAAGATGCTCCATCGCAACCCTCCTGAAATGCATTTCCCAAAACAGGAGCGCCCTACCGAGGGATATTGTTATGTGTGTTGCCCACAAACTATTCCACTCTATTATTTCACCGGAACAAAAAGGTTTACTGGAACCTCAATGCAAAAGATTATTCTGTTATTGCTTACTTTATACAGGAATGTACAATCTAAAAAAGGAACACTCTTTGTAAAAATAACCTTGCACTTGTTCTTTGAAGATGAATGTAATAACCCTGAATGATAAACTATACTATATGTTTTCTTTGCCGCTGGCATTTCATACAGCCACAATAAGTATGCATTGGTCTACAGGATAGCAAGTCTGTCTGTTCCATACTGCATATCAGATGCCTCATAACAGCAGTTACAAATACGTTGTCGTCGCTTAAAGATGACACTGTCATACGGTATAACTGCCATGTAAATTAGGTTTTGATGGAAAAAAATGTACTACAAGATATCGTTTGTTTTTGACAAGTTCCTTACTAATCCTAGCCCACGGAGGACTGAGAACAGGCTGGAGGGTCAAACATTACATTACATGTTACTTGTTAGACACTTTTATCCAAAACGACTTACATACTCATCACTGTGGGCAATCTCCACAGGAGCTATTTGGGGTGAAGTGTCTCAGGGACATGCTGACTGCAGTGGGGTTTGAACCTGTGATCCCAACACCAACGCACTAGACCACTGCGCCACACGCCTCCCCGCCTCAAGCAAAATGACTGTAATCCAGAGGACCAATGTTCATGTGCAGTTTGAAATTATAATTCACATATAATTAACCAATTATGTTTTACTAAACCTTAGTAGTTTATTCTTAAAAATAGTCTTTTTTTGTTGTTGTAATCTCATCTAGATTGTTATCATTTACAATATTACAATGCATATGACTGCAATTGCAATCCAGGACAAAATATTTGGAGCCTGAGACTATATAAACCTTTTACACTTTTAAAATGTTGTACATTTCCCGTGCTTGTGTTTTTGTTCTGCATAATTCCTAAGCATAGATAGTTAAGTTGAATTTCAACATTATGATTTCATCAGCAGTGCATTCATTCTGTCCAAAGCATGAGGTTCTCAAACATCAGTCTGCGGTCACTTTATTTTTCAGTCACTCCAAATCACATTACAGTGGCATTTTAACGCAGGCACAACCAAAGCTGGTAAAACTTTCCAGCATGTGTACCAAGACTGTGGGGCTTATAATATAATTGGTTGATAGTTCTTGTTCGCTGTAGGGGAAGCAATACAGTCAACATTATTTAATCCCAGAGTCTGTTTGAATGCTGAATAAATGCAGAGCAGAGAAGCGACACGTTTTGACTTTTTTGCCAAGTTTCTTCCGTACACATAAAACTAAAGGAGAATGTATAAGGCTGTGGCTCAGTGGGTAGTGTGCAGGACTTCGAATCAGAGGGTAGCAAGTTCGAGTCCCACTGCAGTCACCATGTCGTTGTGTCCCTGGGCAAGACACTTCACCTCAAATTGCTCCTGTGGGGATTGTCCACAGTACCGAATGTATGTAAGTCGCTTTGGATAAAAGAGTCTAGCAAATGACATGTAATGTATAACTTAATGCTTTGATATGTATATATTAGTAAGATAATCCCTTATATGGAGACAGTGATACTTCCAGAACTTTTCTCTTTTGTATGAGTTTTACAGTGGAGACAAAATCATAGAATGAAACCCAGATGAGACATGGAGGAAAGAGAATGAGGGTCATATGTTGCTATCCTTGGTGATAACATTAATGTCAAGGTGGAAGGGGGTAGGAAGACAGCAAAGCTAATGAATATGTATGGTGCCGACAGTAAAGTGCTATTTTGGAGTGAAGTGGGAAAGAATGGCCTCATGAAAACAGCACTTTAGGGCCTTCTCTTGCACAGATTGTGGGTCTATGAATATTCATTGCCCATTGTCCCAAAATAAAATGTGCTTAACGCTTCTGACTTCTTCTCATCCGTGAAATACGCAAAAGATTTAACCTATGCATGGTTTGGCCTATAACACCATCTATCCACACTTTTGATTGGGCAAGATAGACTTCTATTCTTTGTAAAGAGAAAAAAAAAGCACTTTTTAAAGCATATACCTGATATGTAAAAGCTCAGTGTCATGGGGAAACCAGAAAAGCTATTTGTCATATTCTGTACTACAGAATATTGCATTACATTCCCAGTGAATCCCTGGATTTAACGGTTCAGTGACACGTTGTTAGCGGGATATGTGCCAGTGGCTGCGATGGAGCCTGTATGGATGTTATATCATAGCATATTTGTGAAAAGTATCTGAGCGTGCTCAAGTGACAAAGTCTGACTATAACCCCATCATATGCCAGACAGCATGATGTCCTTGAGCATATTTCACAACATGCTACATTAGCTTTCACAACACTGCCATGCATTTGTCAAAGTGTCACAGCAGCCGGAGCCGACGCTGTTTAAAAGACCTCTATGTCATGTTTTCTGTGTACAAAAATCTGCAGGTGAGAATTCTGTAAGGGAAAGCCAAGTCTGAGCAGAGACAGAAAGACAGAGAAAGAAAAGCAGGAACAAAATCAGAAAGTAGAGGTCAGGACAATATTGTGTTTCAGTTACTTGTCTCTCGGTAGAAGCTTCTCCTACAATAATCACTGCCTGATAAGCTAAAGGAATTACAATGTCTTATTTTATTGTGGTCTAAAGTACAATTATGACCCTACCCTGACATCTACTTCACTTACAAAAGAACGAGGAGAAAATCCTCACTTTAAAATGTTCCTTTGAGCAACTTGTTCCACTCTTATTCCAACCAATTTAGCCGCACTGTACAAATTAAACTCAGCTAATTCTACTCCACAATTTCTTCTGCTCAGCAAGGTGAACTAGAGGTTGCACAAACCTTCCTGTGAACTCAGTGTTACACATTTCATATCTGCAGAAGACAATCTGTGTCCATCAGAAACACCATGTGCATGTGTACCGTCCGCGAGCATGACAGTAAAGCATTTTCTGCATTGTTTATCACTCTGAGCCAGCATCAGCAGAATGCATTTTAACCTGGGATGATACACATTTCTAACATATTTTCACAATTCCAGTATAATTGCAATAATTACCTCGTCCATCTCCCCTGCTTTGTAGCCTCCCTCCATCAGCAGTCTGCTTTCCATGTATTTCAAGCTCTCATTAACACCACCGTCCTATAAGCCCAAGTGCCTCTTACTGTCCAACCTTTGTTGGGTATCTCTTGACATGGTAAAGTAACCACAGTTCCTAGCCCCTGTTATCCAGGGCCTGCATGTGTCTAATGCTGTAGACTACATCATTAACAGGCCTGGATAAACCCTGTGAAGTGCATGATACTGCTGTGTTTCATTAACCTGGGCCTTAGGGAAGTGGAGTACTTGCTCTAAAAGGACAAACCTGCTTCTTAGAGGCTGCTTCACATGTTCGGTGACCTCAGTTGGTGCTACAAGGAAGAACAGTTTGATATAACAAGGCAAGGCAAGGCAAGGCAATTTATTTGTATAGCACAATTCATACAGTAATGCAATTCAAAGTGCTTTACAGGATCAAACAAGGGAACATCTTGCATCTGAGCCTTGTTGTTTGTCCAAAGGAGGATGGTAGTGTGAGAACAGTAGGCCTTCAATTTGAAATAGCTCTGCTTCCTTTTAGCGTTTTTAGCTATCTAGCTGGTAAACCTTTTTAGCAAAGAAGAGAAGTAATGGATACCATTAACTGCCTTTTTTTACGAGAAGATTTCGTTTAAAAATCTTTTATTAGGTTATTAAATAGACCACAATTGGACACGGAGTGCTCCTTTAGATCTCATTACAGTTTTAAACCTATATGAATATAAAGCACAGACGGATAAACTGCCAACCACAACCAGGTTACAGTTATTACTAAAGTATATACCATCTGGGTGGCTGGGTATCATGCCATAGGGTTGCTGCAGTAGTAGATTACAACAAACATTTCCAGTCTCCCACACATCAGTCTCAAACTACATTTATGCAGAACCACTTGCGACTCTCGTGTGATGGAGCAGACACAAGGGGTATACAAAAATATAGAGGGTATTGAAGTAGTTTCAGGCAAAATACTAAAACAATGTATATGCTGTTTATGGGTTTTGTGTCAGGAGTGTGTGTATTGTGTGATGAAAATCAGGCTGTTGGCGGACCCTTACTGTGTTGGAGATGGTAATCGTTTGCCTGAGCCTTGGGGGAGCTGCTCAGCAGGTGGTGCTGTGTGTCTGTGCGTACGTGCATTTGCCCGTGTGCTTGTGTGCAAGTATCAGCAGGAAAGGCTTGTGCAGGTCCCACAGTGCATGTCTCAAAAGCCAAGTCATCAACCCTTTTTAATCCAGCCCAGCAGGGATGTGTTTCTGTTTTTGGCACTGTATGTGTGCGTTTGAAGAACGACTTCATGAGAACTGCTGCTGTAAACTTGGTTATGTTATACTCTGAGGCGAGGTTAGAAACTCGTCCTAGTTCCAACCAGACAAGATTATTTTGTCTCGACTTAAACTGGAATACTGATAAGTTCTACTTTTTGCCCAAGTCATGTTGGTTTTATCTAGTTGAAGATATTTCCTGATGTGTCTAACATACCGCCTTCTCTGCTCTCTCTTCCTCTGCAGGACGAATGTCATAGGATGAACACTGCTGGTGGGGTGTGTCTGTCTGTGCTGTCCTCTCTCCTGGCTGTGGCTGGGGCCCTGGCTGCCGTGTCTGCCCTCGCTGTAGCTCCTCTCTCTGCCCTGACTGAGGCTGCCAACAGCGTCCCTAGCACCGGGGCAGAGGGGGCCCCCTCGCCCATCTCCTCACCATGCTCCAGCCTTGTAGCTGGGGTGCTTTATGGGTCTTTCTCCCTAAGGGAGCTCTTTCCATCCAGGGCGCCGGGCTGTTCCTGGTCCCTGGAAAACCCTGATCCCACCAAGTACTCCCTCTACCTCCGCTTCACCCGGCACCCTGTCATCTGCCGAACACACTCCCCCATGCTCCTCTCCCTTGATTACCACCTGGCCAATCAAAGCTGTCCCCTCCACTTACAAACAGCCGCTGCTAAGGATCAGCAAATCATTGATTTGTGTGGCAGCCAATCCAACTCAGAGGGACCGTACTCGTTCCTACAGTTTGATAAGAACTTCGTCCAGCTATGTCTAACGAGACATCCAGCCGCGGACGAGCCCCAGGTATCTAAGGAAATACTGGAGCTGAGGCTGGTAGAGGTGTTGCTCATTAACAACGAGAACTCCAGCCAGTTTACCTGCGGCGTGCTCTGCAGATGGTTTGAGGAGTGTTTACGCACAGGTCACAATGGAGACCAGGAGGTTTCTGACGGAGATGGTTGTGGGATGACGCAGACGGGATGTATCTGTCCGAACCACAACATCATGGCACCACCTGTTCCCTTGCTCCCGGAGACGCCCCACAGTTTCAGCAACGGCTCGGTTCTTCCTGATGACTGCTGCGTCACTGAGCTGCACTCCAATGAAGCAATCGTCATAGCACCCCGAGATGTTCGACAAGGTAGGACTATGTACAACATTATCACACTTGCATTGTGATAATGAACATTTGATTAATGCCCTGTAGACAGATGTTATTTATTAATAGTACCTAGTGTTGCAACATCTGCCAATACTAGAAAGGTACAGTATTCCCTGCTCTTAAAAGTTAAAATATCCCATTTTATTTGTGATGGTACTTTAAGAATAAAAGTGTTTGTGGATGTGCGAAAGCAGGCTAGTGTGTGTGCGCAGTGGGAGCTGCTTCCACTCACTGCAGGCATAGTTGGCTGTTTCTTGAGTCATATTCACGCCGCAAATATAAGTGCTTTTCGAACCGCACATCATTTGTCCACAAAGCAGACTTACGTAGCTACATTTGGCTCTAAAGTCTTGCTAAGGGTTATGAGTTGTGCCTATAACACAGAGGCTCTTTAGTCGGAACCGAGACGGAAAACTCTTTATTGCTCTGAAATTGTTAGCGATGGTGCATTACAGCCTCAGTCTGTCCATTCTTACCTTTTTAACTAAAAGCTTGACACATACAACATCACTGCTTACTTACTAAAGGGAACTAACATTCACTCAGAGCGTTTCACTGAGAGGCAACCAAACAAAATGCCTCACAGTACTGCTCACACTTAACTATTTTATAACCAGCTCTTTCAGAACCTTCTATAACCAGTGACGTGAAGGTGGAGACGTGGTGTCATGGTGTCTTTTCACTATTGATTTGAGGTACTTAATCTTAGTCATAATTATGGTAGAGGGACACTGATGTTAGCTTATACATTACAAAACATAAAATAATGTATCCTCATATAAACAGATCTTGTGACTCCATCTTGCAAACAAGCAACAATAACAATTACAAACAATATGTTATCCTGGCTTTTGATCGGCCTTAGGGAGGCCACGTGCCTCTGCTTTACAGAGAATTTATTATTTGGATTTTGTTTGTTGCCCTTTTAATTAAAAAAACGAAGCAGTTCAAAGGCGGCCCTTTTAAACCTTCCTTCAAAAGATTTGTGAATGTCTGTCAGAAATTCAGCCCTCTGATCTATATTTTAGATATTCCCCCATGTGGCTAAGAGGTGTGGCGCATACTTCAGTGTGTGTGTGTGTGTGTGTGTGTGTGTGTGTGTGTGTGTGTGTGTGTGTGTGTGTGTGTGTGTGTGTGTGTGTGTGTGTGTGTGTGTGTGTGTGTGTGTGTGTGTGTGTGTGTGTGTGTGTGTGTGTGTGTGTGTGTGTGCGTGTGTGTGTTGGTGTGTTTCGGTGTCGGTGTGTGTGTATGGTTGTGTGTCGGTGTGTGTGTCAGTGTGTCTGTGAGAGAGAAACCATCTGTTGACAATGTTAGGACAAGATCAGATTTGACACCTATGCACACACACAGATGCGCAGGGTAATTCATACATCAATGATTTGAACACGAGGCAGTCATCCCCTTAGCACACACACCACACAGGAATATGCAGGCATGTGTGTGTGTGTGTGTGTGTGTGTGTGTGTGTGTGTGTGTGTGTGTGTGTGTGTGTGTGTGTGTGTGTGTGTGTGTGTGTGTGTGTGTGTGTGTGTGTGTGTGTGTGTGTGTGTGTGTACCTTTAAGCAACATAGATAAGCGTTTTATCCATACCGAGATGGACTAGTGCTTGTACTTAAGCTTTCTTATCCATTTTAGTTCATCACCGCCACCAGAGTATTTCCTTTAAGTTAAATCAAAACTGTGACCTAGAGTTGATGCTATAGAGAATGTATCTATACACCAATCATATAGTTTCTTTGTATGTGTTAAATGGAGATTATCTTCTTTCTTGTTGCTCCTTTGCATTAGGACTTTTTTTAAGTTCTGTTTTTGTTGGGTTTGATAGGCCCTCTTACCTATAAAGCACATTCACCTTGATTTTTCTACACAGTACAAAAACATCCAACTAGAGTCTTGAGGTGAAAACCTTTGTCTGAAGAGAGGTATTGTGTTTGGGAATATTATCTTATACTGCTGACAGCTAAGGTAGAGATTACGCCGTGCTGCTGTTAATAACTAGAATCACTTTTTTGTCATTTTTCGTAACAAGGTTCAGTAACAAGGACAGTAAAAAACGTAAGGAAAGTGGAAAAAGAATGTGTGCAGTGCTTGCAGCTCAGCTTATACGTTCATGGACTGGTCATTGTGGAAAGTTGGCTTGAATTTTCAATTTCAGAACTAGCCTATCTACTGTTCAAACAGTAGATCAACCACAAGCTCAATTTGATGTTACTGACTTATTAAGGCTGAAAGAAAACCAAGGTTTTTGTAGAGGCCAAGAGGGAAAGGTAGCACACAAATCAATGAAAGTGTTACCATGGTGAGGAGAAGAAAATGAGTGAAAATGAGAAGCTGATACACAGCGGTATATTTGTTTTTGTGTCAAACTAAATTGAGTGTCAGTTATGATGGTGTCTGTGTTAGGGCTGTTGGAGGGTGATTTCTGTTGATTGACAGGAGAACCTGGGGATCTTGTTTTTTTTACAGACCTGACATGCAGTCGCACAATCTCTCAAGAAACAAATATGTGTGTGTATGGGAATGATTTTACAGTATTTGGTTTCTAAGACTTGCATCATAAGCAAGAATAAAAATAATTGAAGAATGTGGCCAAAAGTCTCCAGTGCTTTAAAATGCTGTCTTTATGTTGGTCTTATATTGAGAGTAATACACATACTGGAAGTGAGATCGGCAGTGTGTCCAATCCAACGGGGTTTTGCTGATTGAATGCTTGATTTAGTAAAGACAGACACATGTATTTGATGCCTTTTCGTGTTGAATAAAAGCAAGAATAGAACTATACACAAAGACTATATACAAAATGAAATGAAGTGTTTTAAAAATAGCATAATTGAGCTAGTATTGCCCCTTAATACCCAATGTATATGAAAATTAGACAATATTTGTTTAAAGTTGGGGTAGGTACATTTGAGAAACCGGCTCGAGATCGCTAGAATTTGAAAATACACAACCGGAGAAAATCTGCCACTTCCTTATAGAGCCCCTCCTCAAACACACACGAATGCGCACATGACCAATGAGGGCACGAGATAAGTTTGTGCCCCGATGGAAGGCTGACAGGCAGGTAGGCCATCCAGTTATTTTAGCCGGGCCGGCTAAAATGATTGGTCGTGCTTTTTACAGTATTACGGGTTCCACAGATGACATTTTTTTATGGATTTTTTGTCAAAGCACTTAAGTTCTTATTCATAACACTCCGTTTGATGTCTCACTATGGGATGCGCCTCAACCAATTTATATATACAGTCTATGGCCTCAACGCATATGCAAACAGAAGCATCAATCTCATTACGCCAATCCTGATTGGCTGGTGATCTTGACGTCAACGTCAGGGAATCCACCCACCCTTTAAGTAGCTTGCGCTACGACGCAGCGTCATTCAAACACCTCTTCTCGCTTCAGAGCACATCTCGATTTATCAGTAACTGGGCTAGCTTAACGGTCCACAGTCTGAACCCAAAGCTAACATTCGGTCGATGGGCGCTTGCAAGAAGACTGAGCAATATTAACACACCAGTTAATATTGTAATCTGCCTCGCCGTTCTTTCTGTCGAAATAACGGTAAGGTTTGATTTTTTCTTCAAGCTAGTAACATACCTGTTGCTAGTTTTTTCTTCCCTCCACACCGACACCACGGTAAAGAGGACGTTCTCTTTTCTCTCTCACACCAGAGGAGACAGAGATAGAAAAAAAGGGTATTAACACACCAGTTAATATTCTTTAAAGAATAAAATCTACACCGTCGCCTTTTTTCCTTTCGGACCAACGGCAAGGTTGGATTTTTTTCTCAGTAACGTACCTGTTACTAGCGTGTCCACTCCACGCCGACACCCCGGCGATCGAAGATGGACCCTTCTCTCCCTCACACCAGAGGAGTCAGGGACTCGGAGGTTCGGCTATGCGGCTGCGGGTTTAAGATTTCAGGCACAGACTCACACCAGGTCTGCTCGTCCTGCCTCAGACTGGAACACGCCCGGGAGGCTATCGATAACCCCGGCTCGTGCGGGCATTGTACCCGCTTCACCATTAAGAGCCTCCGCCGACGGTTAGCACGCCAAGCTAGCTTGTCGGGTCAGGACCCCCTCATGTCCGCTGATTCGCCGGCCGGCAATCGAGACATGGTGGCGTCCGCCGCAGAGATTGAGCCCCGTGCTGTGTCAGATTGGGGCTCAACAACAGCGATGGCCGCTGAACCGGAGCCCCACGCCGTTTCAGGCTGGGACCCGGTGGCGGCAAGAGCCGCGAGAGCGGAGCCCCGCGCTGTGTCAAGCTGGGGCTCCCAATTGGACCTCACCATGGTTCCACCCGCGGAGGATGTCCTGGAGTTGGACTATATGGAGGACGAAGAGGATACCTCTGAGTTCCTCCTGTCTGACTCGGATGAGGATGACATCTTCGTTTCATCGGCTCAGGCTGCAAAGCCGGGAGCGATGTCCGCTCCCCCGGGCGAGAGCACACCAGCTTCGCCCGTCCTAAGCATGGACTTTCAGGCCGTGTGTCAACGCGCTGCGTCCAGGCTGGACATCCCATGGCCTGAAGTGGCCAAGGAGACCTCCAGATCTCGCTACGAGGGGAAGAACTTGCCCCAAGCAGCGAGGACGAAGAGGCAGCTCCTTCCAGTCTTTCCGGAGATGCTGGACGAGGTGTCGGTCTCGTGGAGAGACCGTCCCTTTAGCAACAAGGCCCCAATTCAGGGTGCCTCCTCCCTGGACTGTGACGGTATGGAGAGGCTCGGCCTGCTCCGCATGCCGCCCATGGAACCGCTGGTGGCAGCCCACCTCCAACCGAGGCTGGCTTCGACACCGAGCAGGAACCCCATGCTACCGGCAAAAGGCAGACCGGTTCCAGTCAGCGATGACCGAACGGGCCTATAAAGCCGCAGCTTTGTTCGCCAGGGCACTCAACGTCTCCTCGCTGCTGACCGCCTACCAGGCGGAGCTCTGCGAAGACATGTCGAGCAAACCTGAGCCTGCCGTGTG